CTACTAGTTTGACCTGATAATCATTGCAGGCAGGGTATTAGATAAACTAAATTGTTTTGTTTTAAAGGCTCCACAGGATCCTTTAACCAACCAAGCTTGTTTCTAATTGAGTTTGTGGGTTCGAATGCCAGTCACTTTTATTCCTGCCTTGTTAAGAAATCTGCGTAAGACTTCCGAGGTTCCTTGCTGGTATGGAATTACAACTGATGATTTAGATTCCTTATTGTTGGTGTCGTCATCAATATTATTATTGCCACTATTATTTATCATTATTATTGTTATCATTACCTAGAAAAATCTAGATTAGTTGATCCAAATAAGATAAGAAATCTGGAGAATAATTCAGCTATAGCATTACATGCAGTTACACACAACCATACATTATAGGATGATGGGATAGGATGACAGTTTTAAAATCTAATGTCACAGGGTGGAGGGAGAGATTCATAACAGAAGCTTTGTTTATCGAATCAACTGCAAATGCATGTAATAGGAATGATTCAACCAACACCTGTCCACCCAGATATATGTGCGTCGGTAGCACAGTGCTGAGAACTCTCACCGACTCTGCACATGGCCCGAGGTTCGATCCCCTGCCAACGCACACCTGATATCTATGATCGGCCTGCAAAATTTGGGCTACTGATATCCATGCTGAAAATTCCATACTTGTACCAAAAATACAGTGTGGAATCAAGCTGTAATCAAAATTCTACTACCCCAACTACAACAAATAGGAGAAGATAAAGAAAACTTTAAAACTCAAGTTTCAAAGTCATGTGATTAAAATTGATATGATTATGAACAATAAATTTTGTTCAAAACGTCATCATCCAGTAAATAATACTGTTCCACTGACTGTGGGATACATCTAATAAACAAACTAATATGGAGCTACTCTCTTCTCATTGTAATTTCATTTTCTTCTGGTCACTTAACATTATATTCTTTCTGTCTAAACTTCCACCTTTTTCTCCTGTTTTATTCAGCCTATTTGACAGTAGGTCTAGGTTTGATTCCTGGTTGACACACTCCTAAGTTTCGTTTATTTTACTTGCCTGTAGTAAACCTAGTGAAAATGGAAAGTTCGGCTAAATTAACTTGTCTTAATAACTTGACCGACTCTAGTCTCCCACTTTGAGCTACACAGCTGACGTACTATTGATTACATAGTATTTGGTAAATTATATTATTATCCTTAAGTCTATAAAGTTTGTGCCTGAGTGAATCATTTGGTTTAAATGCCACCATAACTTCAACCTTATTAAGAATCGGATGTATGGCTTCTAGTTGAAGTAAAGTATAGCGACCTTGAGAGGACTGCTATCAAAAAGATCATGAACAATCGATCAGATGACTCCATATAATTACGCATAATTTGAAAATTTTTTTTTGGAAATCAAAGTAAGTAGTTAAATTAGTTATAGAATAGCGATTTATTTCAGTGTTATAAAAATATCTCCCAGTTTTTCATAAGAGTCCTGGAAAATTCCCATTGTAACATATAGAAAATCAAAAGAAGTGATTCAGTGAAGAGACTCTTTTCAAAGAATTTACCATCAAGCTGTACAATCATATATATGTGGTTTTTAAGAAGTTATATCAGGTGAGGGTATTGAACCATAGGTGTGAATGCATAAAATAATAATAATAGTGGTATGAAGTTCTATCCATCCTATGAATTATTCTATAAATGACACTAATTCTTTTGCCCCTTGACATTTAACTACGATTATAATCACAAACATTTTAGTTTTAATTGCATTTCATACTATTATTATTATTTTATGCACTCGCACCTATGATTCAATTCCCTCACCGGATATAACTTCTTAAAAACCACATATACATGATTGTACAGCTTGATGATAAATCCTTTGAAAAGCATCTCTTCGCTGAATCACTTCTTTTGATTTCCTTAGTGTTAATCCACATCAATTGCTGAACATGAATTCGCCGTAATGACTATATTGTGAATGCAGCCGAGTGACGATAAACGCCTGTAACTACTCCATATCCACCAACGGCAGCTACATATCTCTGAAAATTCAATATCCCTCCAATATATGCATGTTTTAACCCTTCCTATAAGTATGTTATCCAGACGGTACTAAAATATCCGTGATCAACCCGTAAAACATAACTAATCCTTACAAACCAAACTATAGAAAGTTAATCTGATGCTCGCTAGTGACTTGCTACAGGTTGAAGTTTCCTGAGTTCTAGTGAGAAGTCGTGACCAGTGAGGTCCAATTAGATGTCACGTGTGTGGATGGATGTCCCACCAACGACAATGGTTGGGGTCGCGCTAAATCACGAATTAGTAGAAGTTAGAATTCACGAGCCATTGAATCGGGTCCCAGTGGCTGAATGGTATACGAGCTTGCCTTGTAACCGGAAGGACCCGGGTTCGAATCCCAGTGGGTGCGTACTGCCGATGATTCCCAAACTAGGATGAAACAGCAGCTGTCCAGTACTCCCTGGTTTTCAATGGTTCTCTAACTGATATCAATCCGTGATCAACCCGTAAAACTAAAATATTAGATATGGATGAAATTTACAGCGTAATTCGTGCACTTCATTCCTATTCGCACATATTTTACTATGAGCTGATCTGTTGGATTGTTCAAGGTCATTTTGATGGTCATTCGTTCGGGGCAAATAATCTAAGTTGTTTATAGTTGTACTATCTCTATCAGGATACCTCCATTTTATACGTTAATATGTACTTTAATGAATATTATACATTTCTTAATGACCGTAGTGGGTTTTTACTCATTGTTTCTAGATCGTATATTTTTTTGAAATTGAAACTTGTTTGTTGTCACTATGTTCATGTGTTTGTATTTATGTTGCCCTTAAAAATTTCTTATGAATAATGAATTTAGAGTATTCACATGATTGGTCTTACCGGAATTCACTAAAATATTGTTTTTCCACAGTTGTTGCCTGTTGTTATATATATAACTCATCGAAGAAGACAACGAGCAGTGTCATAAATTGGCAGAAGCTAGAATTCACGGACCGGTCATTGGATCGGGTCCCTGTGGCCTAATGGTCTACGAGCTAGCTCGCCTCTTGACCAGAAGGTTCTGGGCTCGAATCCCTCGATGTGGGTGAGTACTATTAAAGAGTCCCGAACTAGGACGGAACAGCTGGTTGTCCAGTACTGCTTGCAGGTCTTCCAATGGTTCTCTAATTAATTTAAGCTCCAACCAGTCAAAGTGGAGATGTGTTGTTGAAGCCCTATGTTCCACTCGAAACCCAAGGGAATAGCATATATATATATATATATATACTTTAATTGGGCACTAATTAGTAACTAGTGTAATGTGTCTAGTCTTTTGTTTGGTGCAGATTGAATTCTATCTGTCAAGTTTTCAATGTGATCACCGCGCTACTGGGTGACTCGCCATCACGGTGTATCATGAACTGTTGGTATCAGATGGTTGGACACAATCGGCAGGAAGCCTTGGACCTAGGTTTCGTGCTAGTTAGCACTCACCAGTCATCAAAGCATATCTGCAACCGTGAAGGAACTCATGTCCCTTGCTGATGAGTGCTAACTAGTACGAAACCTAGGTCAAGCAAGGCTTCCTGTGGATTTCCTCCAATCATCTAATATCAGAAATATATATATATATGTATATATATATATTATCGTCTACTCGAATAACATAGCATTTGCCCTAATGGTTAAAAACAGCTAAAGCTAAGGTGCCGAAAATTCTAATAACTAACCTTCTTATACACTACTGACATGATATTAACACTGTCAAGTCGTTCGCTGTTATCGGCAGTCAAACAAACAGAAAGATGATTGCATTTGAGGAGGCTTGTGCAGTTAGAGTTTACAAATCTAGTCTTCATGTTCAGAAAAAAATGGTAGTCACTTTTAATCTCCTAATGTAGTATCCCTTACTTATTATCTGTTATTATTATTTTTCTATTCCATCTTTTATGATTACTCTTGATTCATTTAAAACTATCCTGTCAGTACCATTATCGCAACTTTTTTGCATTATTATTATTATTATTTAGTTCACAATCGTTGATATTCTCAAGTTCTTTGTCTGATAACCAATTGTTTATTTATGCAGTGTAAGTGAATCGTAAAACATCATAAACTAAATTTAATCTCCCATAATCCTTTCACCTTATCTGTCTGAACTTGAACTGTAAAACATTTGCGCATGTCAATTAGCATGATTGATTCAACATATTGCTGTATGTAGAGTTTTCAGCTGAAGAGTCCTGAAGAAATTTGATGCATTCATTAAATCCTGCTTTATTTCACATTTGCTGCTTGATAATTTTTAAACAACAGTCTCTCTTTTTGTTTTAAAAGAAACACTTGGAGTTCTTAAGAAGGTCACACTTGAAACTAGACTCATTTCAATGCCCATGTATTCATTGATGTTACGTATGTCCTACTGGATTTTCACCAAAGAGTATGTCTAAATTAATAGAAAGTGTACCGTAAAGGTAAACAGGAATTCGTCTCAAGCTACTATTTCAAAAAATAATCTCTTCTCTGACGTCTTAACATTTTCAAGAAGTTGAAATCTGAATGTATGTTAAATCTGCCTGCTATATCATACCTTCTTTGCCTACTTGTCCAGTAATCAGTTTCGTTTCAGATAAAAATTGTTATTAAATTTCTTTGTGTACATTGGTCACTCAAAATTGGTCTTTAAAGCAACAGATTTAAGTTTTATTTTTTCATTACCAATAATTCAGTCTTAATGTACTGAGCACACTGAAAACAACAAAGTCTACACTTGAGAAAATATTTAGGAGCACTTTAAAGGTTCAGTCGTAAAATCGAAATCTAACAAGACTCACTAAAATCACTGATCCTATCAAAAAAGGGATGTTTCAGTGGGAACACTGGTGAGTTTTGGTTAAGTGAATCTTTTATATATATGTAAGTAAGCTATTTACTGAAAGGAATCTCTATTAATAACTTAACTTACCTCAGATTTCTTTTTACCTTTTAGTGCTCCAAATTTCGAATATGGTAGAGTAGAAGAAAATGCTATACAGTCAGATGCTTCAGAATTTTCTGATCTCTCTGAATTTTCTAAAATGAGTTTGCATACAACACCATCTGATCATCGACGCACAGAATCAGCACAAATGATGCATCGTACAGTTAACCAACAATTTGAAACGCCTACTCAATCTCATGGTGAACGATACTCTCGAAATTCTAAACAATCCGATAGGCTAGATCAGTCTTTTTCACCATCTAGTGAACAACCAGTTAGAATAAGAAGAGATTCAAATCGTTTAGAAAAAGAAATGTCTGGTTCAACTGATGAACGAATGATGCCTAAAGATAGTGGCAGTTCTGAAGGTGGTTCTGGTCAAGGGACATCTTCAACTGGTAGTCTTGGAGGTCGAGGTCCTCGGCCTTTAGGAGAAAATAAGGCATCAACTTCTGAAATTGCTCAAAATGTTGAAAGGGATCCAATGGATGGAAGAAAAAGACGGCCTAATATAGGACAAAAGTTTTCAAATGTTCTAGGAAGATCTAGCAAGAGTAGCAGTACTTCAACTCTAGGTAAGCAAAACTACTTTGACAAATCTTGGCAATTTTTATTCTTATATTTGTGAAATGATGTACCTTAGTTATAGTGTTCTTGAAACTCTTAAGGTTATTCATGCAGTAAAGGAAATGCTGACTTTCACAGTATTTTATATATAAGCTCTGAATTATATGACTTATAGGTAGAGAAAGTGGTAAGACTGTGTATTGAATGTTACATTTCCGTGGTCTCTTTTCTTACTGAAGATGAGTTTAAGCAAATTTTTTATACAATACAGAATTTAAAATTTGTGTGCTAATATTTTACCTATTGGCTGCACATTAAACAAGTTCCCTCAAAAGGATATTTCTTAAAAAAATCCTAATATGTTATAATATTTCAATTTTAGACAAAAAGTCAAGAACAAGCTTCCAAAGAAGTGAAGAAGTATTACCATTTGGTGGATACGGTGCAATTTTTGAAGGACAGGAACAAGAGGGTTCATTTGGAAATGCAAGATCATCAATGATGCATCGTCAGCTTAGTATAGGCAGTGGAAAAAGTGATGGTCAAAATCCTCGATGCGGTACAAATTCAGACAATACAGATCAAGACAGGTAGGTGATTTCTGGGCTGTTTTTTTAGTGATTTGTTCACAAAGATTGCACTAAATATTACGACTTATTTAGCAGCGAATTTCGAATGGAAGTTTGATGTTTGTCGATACCCATAAGTAGTGTATATGCAATGCTGAGAAAACTATGCTTTTCCAAATTTCAGCTTAAGTTACTCACTTTTTAAGTTAGAGACTTCATTGCTGTTTTATTTACAGTTGACCCCTGTAAACTCCCATTCAGTCAAATAAAAGAAAAGGTGTTCGGCGAAGAGTTACTCTTGTTGGTATTAGATGATTGGAGGCAGTCGTCCACAGGAAGCCTTACTTGAACTAGGTTTCGTGCTAGTTGGCACTCACCAGTCAGCAAGGCATATCTGCAACCTCGAAGGAACTCATGTCCCTTCTGAGATTCGAACCGGTGTCACCCAGTGCTGCAGTCAGAGACGTTATCACTGAGCTATTCAGGCTCGAGATTTACCTCCTGTAGGACTGTATTGGGTATTTTTGACTGGTCACTAGTCAGTAACTAGCATAATGTGTCTAGACCTATATTTGGTAGAGACTGAATTCTACCAGTCAAGCTTGCAATGCGGCCAGCATGCTAGGTGGCTCACCATCACGGTGCACTGTGAAGAGTTACTCTTTTCGGTGATATCATTCTCAAGCTGTATGATCGCATATATATATATATATATATATATATATATATATATATATATATAGTTAATTATCTTAGCAACAAAGTGAATATTTCAAATATTTGTCATTAGAAAAGAAAAAGTGTTCAGCAAAGAGTTACTCTTTTCGGCGATATCATTCTCAAGCTGTACAAATCGCAAATTTATAGTAATTTGTCTTGGCAACAAAAGGAATATTTCCAAAGATGTGTTAATGCAATTGTTAGTTTTTGACAAACAGATTACGTAATTTTGAAGGCGTTAATCGGTTAGAAACTAAAATAAAGTTACAAAAGTAGGTTGGGTGACGTAATCTAATTGGTAGGGTTCAATGGAAAAATGAATGAGAGTCAAGTTAATAATCTGAGTAGAATTCACTTGAAAATGAATGAGAGTTAAGTTAATAAGCTGAGTAGGATTCACTTAAAAATAAACGAAAATCGAGTTAGCAACAGTCGTCATGAGCGTAGAGATTTAATAGAGGGTGGGGGTAGAAAATAATGCAATTAAGAAATAGACAAACAAAGAAGAAAGAGGTAAGACAAAATTAGAATTGTACATTTTAGTTAACAAATTACGTAATATAGAGAGCGTTAATTGGGGTAGAAACTAAAGTAAAATGATTAGAATTGTAAGTTTTAGATAACAAACTACGTTAATTGGCTAGAAACTAAACAGTAAGATTAAATAAGCAATTTGAGTGACGTAATCTAATTGATGGGGTTGAGTAGAGCGCAGATAAAATTAAAATTGAACAAAAGTCAAGTCAACAACAGTGGTAATAAGGGGTAGAGATTTAATAAGGGGTGGGAGAAGAAAATATTAAACAATTAAGAAGCAGACAAGCAAAAAATACACGAAACAAAATCTACTTATTCGGTGTTAAGATGGGTCGGGTCCACTGTAAATTTAATGAACAAACTTTGATATGTGAATTACCATTGCCTCTGAGGTTTGAAGAAGTTTGATTCGTACTTTCTGAGCAAGATTCCCAGGTATTCTGCAGATAACTTTGAATTTACTTTGTTGGTTTGTTAGGTGCTGCTTTTCGATCAGGTGTTCCAGAATAAAGCTTCAGGGGGACCTTTCTTCTCCTTTTTAAACCTTGAGGGTAAGCGTTCGATGATACGTTTGGATAGCAGACGCTGGGTAGGGCCGACATACCTAGCTCCACACGAGCAGGTGAGTTGATAGATGCACACTGATGAGGCCAACAGTGGCAGATTGTCCTTCACTTTCATGCGATTCATTGGTTTAGTAGAGAGGTTTAGTAACAGCTCAGTGGCGAAGTTTTTCTTCAGTGAGCTGGACAGGCGGAATCTCAGTAATTTTGCTGATGAATCTCCATAGAATTGTAGGTTGAGGTAAAGAAGTTTGTTGGGAGCAGAGAGTGTGGGCGGTTTTGGTGGTTTAGGTTTCACAGATTTTGTGATAAAACGTTCTGGGTAGCTGTTTTCTAGCGAGATTCTCTTCAGGGTATTTAACTACTCTCCTATAGTATCAAGGCTGCAAATGCTGCGAATTCTGTGGCTCAATGAACGGATCAGATTTCGTTTTGTAATTAGGTATACCCAACTGTAAAAATTAATAAGTTGTCCGTTCCATATCGGCTTTCTGTAGATGGATCATTTTAGGATTTCATCTTGTTCACGTCTTGTTAAGTCGACGTCCAGAAAAGATATTTTTGTGCTGGGTTCCTTCTCTAGTGTGATCTGCATTGCAGGATGGCAGCTATTAAAGAAGTCCAAGATGTTATCCAAATTCTTCTCACTGTATGAGATAATAAAGGTGTCGTCCACGTATCTCTTGCAGAATCCAAAGTTGTCAATCCTTTTCTTTAGATGCGTGTTTTCTATTTTTGACAGCAATTACATTTTAACACAGTGCCCAAGTTCTATACACTTACATTAATGTATCTTACACTTTTAAGAGCCGGGAAACTTTAAGAGGAAATAGGAGTAATGAAATACCCTTTCATGCCTTAACTAGACAATATTTTACTAATTTGGTCCGTACTACTGACTAATATGAGTAGTTGAAAGTTACTCAATTAAAACATTACGCATACTACCCAGATATAAAGGATCTATTCACCGAAGCCAGTAGGTCTCGGATTCAAAATTCATTCCATCTAATTCAGCCTAGGCAACTGCGTAGTATCACCAGTCCTCACATAATAAGTGTGGTTCATATAGCTTGGTGTATGGAAAATCTGTTTCAGACTACTGAGTTCTTACAAAGTATCAAATGTAAACCAATTATTTTGATTGGACACTAGTAACTAGTGCGACGTGTCTAGTCCTTTCTTTGGTGCAGACTGAATTGTATGAGTCAGGTTTGCAATGTGGTCACCATTATAAGTAACGTCTCTGACTACATCACTGGGTGACGTGGGTTCGAATCTCAGAAGGGACATAAGTTCCTTCAAGGTTGCAGATGCACCTTGCTGACGAAACCTAGGTCGAAGGCTTTGTGCCAATTGCTTCCAACACTCTAGTAAACCAATTGTACTTCATGAGGCCTAACAGTAGATACTGTCAGACAGAACAAATGTGAAGTTTGACAAATACTAATTACTGTTTGTGAAGGAAGGAGAGTGTAGCACTAAGACTGAGTTTTGTTTTACTTGAGTGTGACAGACATTTCAATGTAGAACTTTACACAGACGTTTAGTAGTTCGAGTTGCCATACTCCATGTAACACAAAACCAAGATAAGAGAGTAAATAGAGATTTAAAGGAGACAGAGATATTAAACAGAAATGGGAGGCAAAGAGAATAGTAATATGGAAGAACAGTAGGGTTTTATTGGAAATGATAAATCACAGAGTGAATGGATCTGCGCCAGCCATTGAGAATGATTTTGAGACATACCACCAACTGCCTTTAGGCATTGATTTTACCATCCCGAGGATCCCAACCAGACTGGCAGTCTACACCTCCCTAAGTGACTAGCTGGCTTAAACTAACTATTTTGAATTTCATTGACTGATGAAGCCATGTTTTGATTTCACCACCACTAGCTCCTTTCCAACCTGATCCTATGTCAGCAGCTAACATTGCCCATCGAGGAAGGCGATGGCTGGGCTAGCATGTGCAACACATGTCCTAACCATCTCTCTCAGTCGGTGTGACTTCACAACGTCATCAGTTGATTTCCCCTACGTTCCTAGCACTCGACACCCAACATCAATATTACTCACCTTATTATATCACTTAACATAGGAGACAGAACGCAAGATCAACGCATGATCAAAGATACCCAGCCGGCCTTTTCATATCTTCCACATTTAGCCGCCATGTCTCGCTCACAGCTATAAAGAACGACAGAGAGAACTTCTGAGCAGTAAAAAATTTTCTTTGGTCGACAGCCCGATATCAAGTCTACTAAGCCAGAGATGGTGTAAGTTGGTATGTGCCAAACGAGCCTTCTGTATCCGGGCTGAGATTTCGTCAGCCATCAACCCATTATGGCTGATGCATCTCCTCAAATAAATGAACTGGTCAACACGCTCTACCACTTCACTCCTTATGTGTAAGCTGGGAGTAGTCGATGTAATCCAGTCCTGTAGCACCATCTTACATTCGACAGAGGGGACAAATCGCACACCAAACATTCGAAGATCGCTGCTTAAGGTATTCAAAAGACTCTGCATTTTGTTCGCGTCCTCACCTAGAAGGACTATATCACCTGCATATTCTAAGTCAACGAGATTATGCCTTGGTGGTAACAAGTCAATTCTTGAGTCGCTGAAGTCAGTTATGGTTACGTCCATTAGTATATCTATGGTGAAATTAAATATAAATGGGGACATCGGAGATCCATGTTGGACACCACTAACTGTCACCACTTCACATGTCAACTCTCCATGGGCTCCCACATGTATGCATAATTTCTAGTAGAATACCTTGATCAGTAAGACGTATTGTATTGAATGTACGTTTTACACTGTATTCTCAACTCATTGCGTAACTTATGTACTAATAAGTTTACAAATGCTTATCATTAAAATTCTTATTTTTTTGAATAGTATTTATATGGGACGTAATGAATCACATGTTGGAGAATTTGTAGAAGGTCTTGGTCCTGGTCAACTAGTCGGTCGACAAGTACTTGGAATGCCTTGTCTTGGAGAAATACAACTAAGCTTTTATGACCGTAAAGGTCATTTAGAAGTTGAAGTTATTCGTGCCAGAGGTTTACAACAGAAGAATACAGCTAAACCGCTTCCAGCTCCATATGTTAAACTTCATTTACTGGAAGGTAAACAGTCAGTAGAGAAGCTAAGAACCATGTATCCTCCAAGACGTACACTAGATCCACTTTATCAACAACAACTTTCTTTTTCAGTACCATATCATGGAAAAATTCTACAAGTGAGTAATATTCATCATTCTGGAATATACTAGACATTATTTGTCTTATTTTTCCACTATGCAGTGATGTATTCTTTGTGCTGTTTTTGTTTTTTCATTATAAGTCATCTCTATCATAACCAGCCTAACCTGTCATACCATTTGTGTTTCTGGAAATCTTAGCGGTTTAGACGTAAGGTACTCAGAAATGAGTTGACATTCTACTTCATAATTGAATAAGTATGACATAAAAATCAGAATAACCTGAAAGTGGCAGCTACTTAACTGTCGTAATGTGTGAGACTGCATCCAAGATTATCTCTCACTCTGATTGACTGCTGATAGCTTAAGATATTTCCTTGGATATGATGTTTGCATCGATCTTATATGACTTCGAGCCTCTTGTAGCTAATGACCAGAAACAAACTGGCACCTAATAGCATTCACTGTTTCTTAGCATAGCTATTTTGTCTGGGTAAGACAACGAAATCTCGAACTAACATCAACTAAAGAAGTACAAAAGACGACAAAGGGTTAAAAGAGTATCTTCTTTCAAATTGGAAATTGACAACGTTATACACCCTTGAATATTTTCGAAGTTGGCCCCAAGATTGTCAATTCTCTGACCGAGCCAATTATCTATTAGCCAACGCGTTATTACCTAATATTCCTAATTTTGTTAATTCACAGCAGAGTACAGGTATTATTCACACAGTAACTGACTATTCCCTTCAACTTCTACTGACCCGTCACTAATGAGCATTATTACAATGTAGCACCATAGCTTCCTTTCAACAATTCGACAACTAAAGTTACCATTTAGTAGGGAGTGATAAGAAATCAATTTATAATTAACGACAATGTTGAATAGTAAAATAATTTGTGTTTAGAAAGAAATAAATAAGAGAGAAAATGAATATTGTCCTATCAAAAACACTACATTGCATTTATACTTTGATGTAGTGTTTATTCACTGTTTATTCTTCAACAGCCAAGAAAGTCCAGAAGATCAAAGCACTAACAATAAGTCATCTGTTCGAATCCAGTCCCCAAGACTGGTGTTGGCGATCAGGTAGTATTACTGACCCTCATAAAACAGATGTCGCTCATTGTGTGAATGCAAATAGTAGTTGACCAAAATGTCAGCTCAAGGGGACAAATCAGTTCACATTGTAGTGATCATTAACCGTAGATGATTTTCAGGATGAAGTTGCCTGAAATTTATGGTAAAAAGTGGTGACCACTGGTGTTCATCAAATTTACTGTCAGGAAAAATACTCAGTAGTTATGCTGGCTGCCCGTCAAGCTACATATCGCGAATTGTCAGAAGTTGGATTCGGTGGGTCATTGGATTCTCTCCCTGTTGTATACAAGCTCGCATATACAATCATGGAACTTGAAAATACTAGTTAAGTACTGATGAGTTAGTCTAACTCCTTACTGAAGTGTTCAACATGGAGTCCTATCATCACTCACAGCATGAGTTCTTCTCTGATACATTAACGACAAAATTCTTTGTTTTAATCAGATTATACGTTTCATTTCTATGGTCTTATTTCTTTTACATTTTAGGTAAGTGTATGGGGTGAATATGGCCGTATGGATAAGAAGGTATTTTTAGGAATGTGTGAAATTGTACTAGATGATCTAGACTTAAAAACAGTAGTTTTTGGTTGGTATAAATTATTTGGAATGATAGCATCGAATGCACATCATCATCATCACCACCACCATCAACAACAACATCAGCATACTCCTCAACAGAAAGGTCTACCAATATCATCATCAACTGCGCCTTGTGATGATTCAAAAACTAATAAAGGTAGTAAGGTAACAGAAACAAAAACTGAAAAGCCTATCAGCCGTCCCAGTCGTCATAATAATGGTAATAATGAAAACACCAGTAACAATGAACGACCCAATCGAACAAAATCTAAATCATCTCAAGAAGGGAAATCAACACAACCAAGTTTAGGCAAGACAAATGACGGAACAATGTCGTCACATCGTAATCTTGGCTCACCACATTCCACAAGAAGATAGCAATAGATCAGATGCTTTACAAAGTAAATAAAATAAAGAGACAGAAAGTTGTTTTTCAAATAAAATGCTCATTTATATACAGAAAACATGTAAAATGTTTTGTTTAGAAGAAAACTGGAAAATTTTAACTGCTAACATACACGTAAATGTATACATACTCATAAATATAAACATACATACATATTTTTGTAATAACCTCCAAATAAAAACAATGCAATTAAAACAAATTAAAATAAAAATTGTTAAAAAAAACAAACAATCAGCTTCACGTTATTTTTATATGAGATTTCTAATCTATGCCTCCAGTATACATATACTATACATATATCTACATTTTATGATGTTACTTTGGTCAGTTAAAGTAGCAAATGACCTAAACTTTGAATATCTTCCATTTTCTTCACCTGGTTTATCTTCTTTTCTTCTTGTTCTTCCTTCTCTTATTCCTCAAATATAACCAGCATTGCATTAAATCACTTCTTCCATTTGTAAAGTAGTCTTCACTTTTCAGTTGCATTCATTCTTACAAAAGTTACTTTAGTCTGCCCTAATATGTGCAGTTCAGTTAGATTTGTATACATAGACTGAGGTCAATAATTCATGATATCATCAGCAAAAAATTCTAATGCAAGCACATATCTGTTTCTTCTTTCCCCTATCATTTCATATTATTATTATTATTAATATTATTACAATCAGTCATATCCTGATTCATCATATAATGACGATCTACTTATCTGTCAATCTACGTACATACTTAGATTTTTCAATTATACCCTTTGATTAAAACAAAGCAATATTTACCTAACTTTCCTACTTCTTATGTAACTAACCTATTGATCAAAGTAGACATATATATATATATATATATCTGCATATATATACATATATAAATAGTGCATAACGAATACGTATATATAAATAGTGACAATTTTTAGATTTTGGGGCCATTGAGTTACAATCTCTATATTTAATATCTCCTCCTACTCCTCCGCATAATACCACTCCAGCGTACAGCAGAACTTCATCTTGCTTATTTTTATTCTGAACACGAAGGTCAACTACCATTACTACTACTAACATTAGACACATTGAACAATATTTTTCTTTATATTACCTATTATGGAATAAAATAAGGAGAAACAGATTAAGCACTCAATAGAAAAATAAAACAACCTTGTTAATAGTGCCAATAAGGATTGAAACTATTTCTTTCTTCTATCATTATACATATATATATATTTATAAACGCTCTTTTAAAAGTCAACCTATCGAACACCAGTTTTTACATTTCTTTGAGTTTTTATCTACGTATTTTAGTAAAACATGTTCAATGTTTTAAACTTTTCTTCTTTTACCACTCACACATTTTGACATTTATATATATATATATACATATGCATATAATATTACCAGATAAGAAAAATGACGTTATTGATATTGTTTTTTTCTTTGGCTTTATTATCTCTTTGACAGGATTTAGATTAGATTTGCCTTTATAGTGGTGAAGTACTCTGACCTGTTTATTTGTGTTGACTCATAAGGTGAATTTCTGGTAATAGGCTATAATCGTAGAGGAGAGAAAAAGAGGCTCAGCAAACAAGAGGTCATTTCAGCGGTTTCATCCTCAGTCGCATATATATATATGCGTCGGTAGCACAGAGGTAGGATGCTCAACAACCATGCAGGTGGTTCGGGGTTCGATCCCCGGCCGACGCACTCTCAAACCTCGCTAAGCTAGTAATAAGACTAGTAAAGAGGGAAGGTTGGGCATGAGGCTAACAATCGCATCCCGTAAAAATAAACACCACTGTTAGCAGACCTTCAAAGCTTTAACATGAACCCTTATGTTCCACTAGGAGAGTAAAGCAATAAAATAAAAAATAAATAATAAATATAAGTTTGCACAGATACAACTGTTATTTAATTCCACGTAGTAACGAAGGTGATAATAGTTTTCGACTTGATATGAAAGTTCGAAGCCGGGAATAGAGATTACGACAGGCTTAGAAACAAAACTACTACACAGGATTAGCAAGTAGCTGAGTAATACGTGAAGTTGTTTTTAATGAAGACATGTATTAAGTTAATGAGCATAAAAACGAAATGAAATAATAATTTTCACAACTGAAATAAAAAAAAAGTAAAAGAATAAAAAGAAATAACAAATAGAAGCGAAAGACAAGGATTAAAATTCAATTAGACTCATGGTAAATTTAGAGGCTTTTCGATGCTTATGGAGAGGGATTCTTCACTACAAAAAAGTTGAAAACATACTGCCTTTGGTAGGTTTTTGTGTTGACTCTGAATGATGACTCAATCAAGGTGCTTTGACAGGGGTTGACAAGGTGTTCAGTTATGACGCTACTGACTGAACCACTAACTCTTCTTTGCAGCCATCCTGAGTAATATTCTCTGACATGTTTTGTATAAATCGCACGAAGAATAACCTATGTACTTAGCTCTACAGAAACTGGTAAATTGATATATACACATTGGTGTGGTCACATGTGACAGTTTGTCTTTCACATTGCTTAGAAGTAGTGGGAGGTTAGGGAATATCACTCTTAATTTTTATAGAGGAAAGGTCTTCTTCAGGGGACTGGAGATCCTTCCCCTTAGGATATCTGCCACTTTGTCTCCCTTGAAGTCTTTAATCGTATACAGTATTTCCTTTGGCAGTGGACTGCATTATTCTTATTTTGGCTTTGGTCTTTATTTTCTTCACAAAACATGCTGGATGTCCATTTTGAGCCAGGATACTTTTTAGAAATGAGAGCAGTCCTTATCAACAGTGAGTGCTGCAAATCCTTCTGATTTGGTAGGCCAGTGAAATTATGAGTCTTTATTCTACTCACAGGTATCAAACTATAGATGTTTGTCAGTTTGCCATTACATAATTATTTTCTGTAGGTAGATCTCTTCAAAGTACCATTATCTCTTCTTGTCAATTCTACTTTCAGACATGGAATCTTTGATTCATTTTCTAATTCTGCTGTAAATTTAAGTGAAGTATGGCAATTATTTAATTCATGTAAGATACAATTTAATTCATTATCATCATGACAGACTATAAAAGTGTCGTAGATATACCCTTTGTACAGTGGTAATTTGTCGATTGTTGATTTTAAGATTCCGTCTTCCAAATCGGCCATAAAACTTAACACTGTGAGGAGTAAGAGATAGAAAAGACTTGATTGTTTGTTTGCTTGTAAAGTTTTCGACAGAATCAAGTATTTTTTCAAATACTTAAATGTTTATATTTACAGGGATTTTATAGATTGTGAGTTTGATTACGCACTGACTTCAGTTGGGGAAGCATTGAAAAACAGAGAGTACTGTACAGTGATTTCATCCTCGTTTGGTAATTTCCAGCAGTTCACATACAAGACCCCGCCAGTGATCGAATCCAAGGCATTCAGGTTACAAAGGGAGCTCGTAAGGCATTAAGGCACTGGGATGAAATCGAATGGTCCATGAATTTTAATTTCTGACAACTGGCAATATATAGCATGACTGTTAGTCAATGTCATGTGCGAGTGATTTTCCTCACAATCAGCTTGGTGGACTGTAGTATTTATTTGTAATCGTAGTATTAGTATTTCGAGATGACTGAATTACACAAATCCAACCAAAACACAGAGAGGGCGGAATTCAGGAATTTGTATTTAGCGGAATTATCATCCAATTCATATAAGAAATATTAACAATCAACAGTAAGTATTTAAACAATACAGAGATAGAAATAGTCAATCACCACATGGACTCCTGTTTCCCACGACTTGCCACTAAAACTTCAGAAAACTTAATCCCATAGTCAGTCAGTCACCAGTGAACAAACAGACAGAAAGAGTTTAAATCTATCATTATTAATTTTTTTAGAAAATTATCCAGTTCATGTAATGTTCCAACATTAATTAAGATCAACTAGCAAGACTGAACTACTTCTTGATGGTGAGTAGTATATAAAAGTATAAAATCCACACACAGCAGGTAGATCAAAACGTTGCAGTTGATTTACGTGGTAGAAATTCAGACAACTAATCTACTTTCCACGGTTAAACACCTTAATTAGAAGCCGTAGATTATCTGAAATATATGTTATGTGTTAATGATGAAGTTTTTGAATGATCGATTTCAAATTGTTTTAATGTTAGATTAAAGATTGAAATAAATAAATAATAAAGGTGAATAATTACAGAATAAAACTCAGACTACTTTCTAGATGAACATGAAAATCAACTCTACTAATGTAAGGCCACTGTCAATAAGCTTCTGTCCAACCCTAGCCATAGCCATAGAGTAAATGTGTGAAAGCCTGTTTTCAAGTACTGGTTTTGCGGGGATTTTTTTATATCAATTTCAACCGCAAACTGATTTCAGTCAGAGAAGCACTGAAAACTGAGGAGTGCTAGGTCCTTGATTCATTCCTTGATAGGGGTGTGGACATATCCTCTTGAAGAGTGGCAAATGAAGACGAAACAGTTGCTCAGTACTACCCAGTTTTCAATGCTTCTCTGACTGAAGTCAGTTCATGTTCGAAATTGAAAAGGCTCTTTATAACCTTAGTACATGATGGATTTGTAACGTACTTCTAAATATAGGTGGATGGTTATTATATGTACATTTAAGGTTATGTGCTAGCCTATTTTTCGATGATTATGTTTGTAGTCCACCCTCATCATTTAAGCATTGTGACTATTTTTCCTCATGAACAGTGGTCAGAACGTGCTTGTGAGATAGATTCAGCGGCTACATCTGACAACAGCCCAGAAATGTTCTAACACATCCGAGCAATCTGCAGCTAGAAGCAACGTGGCAGCGAGACAGTCTGTCAACCAGATGGTACACCAGTTACCAGCCGAAAAAGATGTTTGAAACGTTGAGCAGAGAACTTTGAGAAATAGTTTAGCTGGCGAACAACGCCAACATTCAACATTATCAAAAACAGTGCTCTGAGGTTGGTCAGCAACCTTCCAAAAAAGCAGAGGACCGAAAGG